TTTAAATTATGCATAGATTCGTAGATCTAGCCTGGGAGGGAAAAAACTGACAAACTGACTGACATAGATGTAATCAAATGCAAAATATTTTATTTTGTATTTTTATACCAAAATTGTATTGTCAAATTTTGTAAAATTGGATTACTGTGCAGAAATATAAGCATTAAAAGTTTGAAAATGTTTGTTGAATCTTTGATGCTTCTTTGAATTTAGCTTTCGAATGTAATTGTATTGAAACGACAAATTCTTCAAACCTATTTCTACACAATTACATGTACAATATGTCCCTGAGTCCCAAACTTCTAGAGGATGCAGTAACAGCTTTACGTTATATCAAGAGGTTTTACCAATCACAGACAATTGCTCCACGGAAAATTTTTAAAATTACAACTCCAATGATTATGTTACAGTAACTTTTTATCTTGCAAACTGAGAAAAAAATAATCTTTTAGGTGATATTTATGTGTTTCTTTGAATCCGGAAAATTTAAATACAGTTGTAATTATGGAAACCAAAGGCTACCATACATAGCAAACGTCTTAAAAGCTTGTATAGTACATGTAATATATACATTATAAATACCTTTTCTGTTTGAATTCACGCATATATTAGTATGCTTTTATAGAGCCATGAGCACTGTCTCTGTAATCAGGTTAGACATTTAATTATTAAAAATTTTGAATTCAAATTTAAGGACTAATAAAGAAGAAATGGATTTTCACACAACTAAAAGGAATTCTGAATTTAATGAAGAGAAGATGGAAATTTTACTTATCGAAAAAGATTTAAAATCTAAGGAATTCGGGTGTTTGATGGACACTGGGGTTCAGACAGAATGGAAGTTTCTCAATGGTTACCATATTTTGTAAAATGAGTTAACCAACAGCGTGTAAGAATTACACAATGATTATTTTAAATTAAAAGAATTGTAGTTTTCCTTGTTTATCTGAAATTCAAACAGATAATGAAACTTGAATTCATTGCTTTAACCCCCCCCCCCCCAAAAAAAAAATATACAATAGGATGCACTTGACAAAAACAACGAATTTCTGAAAAAAATTGCAAAAGCGCAAAAACATTTACACAGTATATTAAATTTTAGATTTCACTCTCTTGTTGTTCAAACTTTTATTTGGGGAGACAGCTTAATTTCTGCAAAAGTCTAGAATCAAATTTTTGCGAAAAATCGAAAGGTTTATGTAAGGATGGAACCAGAATCATAAATCAACTACATTAAATTTCTTCATGTTAGCACCCAAACACACATGCCATGTATATTTAAAGAGTTTTGGGATAAACAGATAGTTTATGTTTTGTCACAACAACAATATTCGCCAGATCTATCTCCCTTTCACTTGTTTAATTTTCCAAAGAAAAAAAACCCGTTGCAAGAAGGATATGGAGATAACGAACAGTACTCAATCTCAACGTCCATTAAACAATATACAAAATAAGAGCAGAGAAAACACGGACCTCTGAAACATAAGAGGTGGGATCAGGTGCCATGGAGGAGTAAGCATCCCCTGCCGACCGGTCACACCCGCCGTGTGCTCGTTGTCATGATCAGGAAATAACGGAAAAAATCCGTCGTCAATTCACTGTATGAATAATGGACTAACAATTGGTATGAAAAATGTCAGTCAGCATTTGACTCAATGATAAATTGTATTTGCTGACAAGGTCATTGTATCGTATCATTGCAAATAAACCATAGGATCTGCCATATTTTAGTTTATTCAAAAGGAAATAATTTATTTTAGTTTTAAAACGTCATTTAATTGGGTAAAAAATTTTAAATAGTCCATTTTCAATAACATAACTTGCCTACGTCACAATGAGTTACGTCAAAAAGGAATTACTCCGCTCGACGTTACTTGTAAAATATGCTAAATTTTATGTCTTTTTCTGGAGGAAAATTTGTCTCATTGTCTACAATTAAATTTGGATTATAATTAATGTAGCTTATTTTCAACTTATGGTGTACAATATAACATTACTTGGGACAATTTGTGTATTCTTATTATATACATCGCTTTGCAGTTTATATTAGAAAGCGTAATCTGCCCCCAAGTTATGTTATATAGTATTTTAAAAAGTTGAAGAAAGCTTCATTCCCTAAAATGTCTAAGTGAAATCATTGAGATTTAATCATTGAAAAGATCTTTCCGAGCACCAAGGATATTATTTATTGAACAATCTTCGTACAATTTTAATATTCATGCAAATACAAAGATGTCATTTTTCGGATTATTTCTATTTAATATCAGATTCCTGCTCATACTTGAATTTGGGTAGTATCAATCTCCGAATTTCGATATTTGTTATTTGAGTTTATATTCGTAACATAAAATTTTAAAGTCCCGGTATAATGTGTGCATTTCAGTTCAATCTTTGATTCCAAGAAATAAGAATACCATTTTTTTCCCATTGTTGTTGTTGGAATATCTTTGTTTAAAAAACGTCATAATTATCAAGGACACTAATCGCTTAAGGCTTTAAATTTTACTTTTTAAAGTTTATCTGATATGAAAGCTAAGAGTTGACATGTTGTCTTCAATATTTCAAATGAGAAATCCTATCGGATGGCTTTCATTTCATGCTTTGTGATCCTGAATGAGGCACATGCACAAAACACTTCTAATGCTATTATTATTATCAGGCCCTTTACCTACTTTAATAATATAAAGCTGTGAATTGCAAATTATTCATGCATGATTGTCTTTTTAAAATGCGTGCAGATTTTCTATTTTCCACAAAACATGCCATTGTTTTCGTACTGCAATATTTCGGTCACCAGAGATTCATCATTAACTTCCATTTACTTTACTTTATTCTATCCCTTGCTTCAGAACATACTGACATAGTCTTAAAATACTTACTCTTGAGTAGAAAGCACACTATGACTTTAAAATGTTATCGGATTTTAAAAAAAGCAAAAAAAAAAAAAAAAAACTCCAAATGTGAAACAGAATTATTTTCCTTCTACTCTTGGTACACATGTTATATGTTCGTTAGAATATTTTCAAAGTATAATAAAACAGAATTTGCTCTACATGTTAAGATTAGATTTTTAAGAATAAAGAATATATGTACAAGTCATGTATTTTCAATTTTTATGGTAGATTAAGCGTCGTCCTTCAAATACAAACTAATTTTACAAACTAATTTTGCTGTGTATTATAACATTTATATATAAATATTATATTAAACAGTGTGAAAAAATTAACCACAAAATAAAAGGTTATGTGCAAAAATAATTTTCTCAGCAAAAAATGGCAATGAAATTGATAAAATCACTTTAAAATATGGACAAAAATAGGCTAATGACACACACACACACACCCACACACACACACACACACACACACACAGAGAAAAGGTATTTAAAATAACGAAAACATTAATTACCAGAGATCAAATGATTAAAAAGAAACGAAACACAAGAAAGCATGCAGGCAAGAAGAAGAGAATAAAATTTTATTTTCTAATTACAGAGGGGGGGGGGGGGGGTTAATCCTTTTAATTAAAATTTCATTCCTCATATGTACATTTTTGGCAATTTACTGCGAATATACCTTGGTAATTAGGATATGTTTACATATATGCACAATGGTATACTTGGAATCTATGTGCCCTAGATTTTGACAGCTATTCTTCGTAATGTATATTTATCTCTTTCTAATAATTTAAGAAAATATGGTGAAAAGGTATTGCTATTAAATCATACACTGTAATTTTAAACCTTATTTAATGAGAACGTTTCTTCTTCTTCTTTCTTTAAAGAAAGGTATTAATATAAAATATTAAGCCCTCAACCTGAAAAAAAAAATCAATCACTTTCATCTTTTCAGTGCACTAAAACTTATGTTAAATGCATTGTCCCAATATTGTACAGTGGTATTTAAACTTTATCGATCATCAAAGAGATGAACTGTATAAAAGAAAGTTGGCAAAAATGAAAACACAAAACGAAATAATTTTATCAATGTGAAAGTTAAATATTGCTGTATCATTTACTTTTAAGAGATGCATTTAAAAGCAAGACATAAGGAGCTGTTTCCAAATTAAAGTGTTTATGTATTCTCAAAATGGCCGCAATGATTCCCAGTCAACACCTTTATTTTGACTCTGAACTAAGTGTATGACTTAACTCTGACATCACTCGAAAAGTCTGATTCTTAGAAAGATGGTTCTAGTATAAGAACTTATTTTACAAATCTTATACACGAGTACATTTAGTTTTGGTGATTTTGTAAATTTTCTATCGGCACAGTTATTTAAATTATGCATAGATTCCTTGATCTAGCCTGGGAGGGAAAAAACTGACAAACTGACTGACATAGATGCAATCAAATGCAAAATATGTTATTTTGTATTTTTATACCAAAATTGTATTGTCAAATTTTGTAAAATTGGATTACTGTGCAGAAATATAAGCATTAAAAGTTTGAAAATGTTTGTTGAATCTTTGATGTTTCTTTGAATTTTGCTTTCGAATGTAATTGTATTGAAACGACAAATTCTTCAAACCTATTTCTACACAATTACATGTACAATATGTCCTTGAGTCCCAAACTTCTAGAGGATGATTTAAAGTAACAGCTTTACGTTATATCAAGAGGTTTTACCAATCACAGACAATTGTTCCACGGAAAATTTTTATAATTACAACTCCAATGATTATGTTACAGTAACTTTTTATCTTGCAAACTGAGAAAAAAATAATCTTTTAGGTGATATTTATGTGTTTCTTTGAATCCGGAAAATTTAAATACACTCTCTTGTTGTAATTATGGAAACCAAAGGCTACCATACATAGCAAACGTCTTAAAAGCTTGTATAGTACATGTAATATATACATTATATATACCTTTTCTGTTTGAATTCACGCATATTTATTAGTATGCTTTTATAGAGCCATGAGCACTGTCTCTGTAATCAGGTTAGACATTTAATTATTAAAAATTTTGAATTCAAATTTAAGGACTAATAAAGAAGAAATGGATTTTCACACAGAAAAAAGGAATTCTGAATTTAATGAAGAAAAGATGGAAATTTCACTTATCGAAAAAGATTTAAAAGCTAAGGAATTCGGATGTTTGATGGACACTGGGGTTCAGACAGAATGGAAGTTTTTCAATATTGACATAGAGAAGAAGGACATAGAAGTGCAAACTGAGTCAAATTTTCACGAAACTGAACATAGAGTAGCAAAGACACATGTTGAAGTACAAACAGTGGAGATGATTTGTGAAATTACCAACGGTTTTACAAGTGAGAATACTAAAGAAAAGGAAATTATGCTTGATTTTTTAAAAGAAAAGGCAGAAAAGACATTTTCCCGAGAAGAAAAGAGTTCTGATTTTGACACAGAGACGACGTCTCTCGAGAATAACAAAGAGGGGAATTGTTTTACGGCTAATGGAATAAATTCAGAAGGTATGGCATTAGAATGTGAAAAAGAGAGGGGAGAATCAGATATTGACTTAAAAGAAATTAATTTTGAGGGCGAAGCAGTAAATGAAGACTCCAAACCTGAAAAGGACAGTTCTGGCTCTGAAAATTCTGAATTTGAGAAAGAGATGATTGCATCTGTAGTTGAACCTGATAAGATTATTTCTGAAGTTGAACCTGATCAAATAATGGACTCTGACTTTGACACCGAGAAAACTGATTGCAAAACAGAGAAGACTAATTCTGACGTTGGTGCAGAGATAATCAATTTTGAGAAACAAGAAGAAATCTCTCGGGCTGATGGGCAGAAAAATGAAGTCGGAGCTCAAGCAGAGACTTCAGAAAAGGAAACTCGGGAAGATAAGACATTGCCTGAAAACTGCTCAAAACATAAATCCAAATTTGCAGATAAAGAAGATGACGTTAAGTTCCTAGTTAACAGGGGTGATAACGTCCCTGAATTGAACGGGAATATTAATACTGAATCGGATACAGAGAAGATTTATACTTGTTCTAACAAAATAAAAATTGATATCATTGATAACATTGATGGTGAATCAAACACGGAATTGATTAATTCTGAACAAGACACGGAAATACTAGTAGTTGATTCTGAACAAGGAACAGAGAAGATTGATCCTGAACTAGAAAAAGTAAAGATTGATCCTCAGCTAGACACAGAAAAAGTTAATTCTGAACAAGACAAAGAGCAGATTGATTCCAAACTAGACATAGAGAAGAGTGATTCTGAACAAGGCATAGAGAAGAGTGATTCTGAACAAGACGCAAAGAAAATTGATTTTGAACAAGACACTGAGAAGATTGGTGCTGAACAAGACACTAAGAAGATTGATACTGAACAAAACACTAAGAAGATTGATTCTGTACAAGACGGCGAAAAAAATGATTCTGAACTGGACACAGAAAAAGTTGATTCTGAACAAGGCAAAGAGAAGAATGATTCCAAACAAGACACAGCGAAGATTGATCCTGAACAAGAAAAAGGAAAGATTGATCCTGAACTAGACACAGAAAAAGTTGATTCTGAACAAGGCAAAGAGAAGAATGATTCCAAACAAGACATAGAGAAGATTGATTCTGAACAAGAAAAAGGAAAGATTGATCCTGAACAAGAGACAGAGAAGATTGATTCTGAACAAGACACAGAAAAGATTGATTCTGAACTGGACAAAGAGAAAATTGATTCGGAACAAGACACGGAGAAGATTGATTCTGAAGTAAAGAATAACACATCAGAGTCTAAAAATATTCCAGAGAATTTTTCGTTCACAAGAGAAGCTGATAACATACAGTTCGTACAAAAATTAGATAAAACAGTTGTGATTGATGCTGGATCGCTAACTGTCAAGGCAGGCTTTGCTGGTGATGAAAATCCCAAAGCTTGCTTTCCCAATATTGTGGGTGAACCTAAAAAGAACGTATGTATTATCATAGTTTTGTTACAGATTTATTTAACTTTTAACAAAATAATTGTTTTCGATATATCTAGAATCATATCATTTGATAAATTCAAAGTATATGTCGATTAACTGTTCAACTGTTCATTGAGTATGTTAAATTGAATATCTTTCAGATTGCTATTTCCCTTCAGCATACATCACAAAATAACATTTTACTGATAGCAATGAAGGCAGAGTGCAAAGTACCAGTACTTAAAGTCCGATACCCTGTCGTCAATGGCCAAATTGAGGAATGGGATGATATGGTAGAAATTTTATGCCATGCAATAGAGCATGAAATCGATGTTGATGATGTCTCTCAATACGTTATGGTAATGATTACTGAAACAGAAGATGGACAACAACTGATGCGACTGCTCTTTCAAATATTTAAACCACGTGCTGTTCTTCTCGTAAACCAAGCTATTCTATCACTGTTTGCTTCCGGTCGTTCGACAGGTGTGGTTATCAATTTTGGGGAAGGTACAAGCCAAGTCGTCCCAATCTTTAACAGATGCATTATTCAACACGCTGTCAGAAATTGGGGTTGCAATGGCCTAGGGCTCACGAAAAAACTCATGGAGATGTTGGACATTGCCGAAACACCAGCTGGACTAATACGTACCCGAGGGATCAAAGAAAAGTTTTGCTACGTTGCCAGTGACCCAAATATTGAGAAAGAAAATATTAAATGCGACGAGTGTGAACTATCGGATGGTACTGAAATTACTATCGGTGCCGAGAAATTCCAATGCCCGGAAGTACTATTCGAAGATTGTCGAATACACGAAATTGTTGTTAAAGTAATTGAAAGCTGCGATAAAGACATCCAGGGAGAATTATTTAAAAACATCGTTCTTGCTGGTGGATCTACAATGCTTCCGGGATTTCCTGAGCGCCTGGAGAAAGAAATTAGAGGCTTGGTTGGGGAAACAAAAGAGTTCCATATCATTACACCTCCTGACAGAAATCTTTCTGCGTGGAGAGGAGGATCAAAGATTTCTTCAACAGACTTATTTTTATGCGATTTATATTCTAAAGATGAATTTGATAACAAGGGACCTATGCATTACTTTTAATTTTATAGCTGTTTTGTTGTTTATTTTCAATGATAAAATAAGTATGTACCATTGCCCTATTACTTTACCAATGCATTTTAAATACCGGTATCTCAATTCAGCATTTCTATTCTTGAAACTTAAAAAATGATCAGGATAACATTCATGCATTTCAACTTGTAAATGATATGCGAAATGTCTATATCTTTTTTACAATAACTAAAGTCAAAGTAATGAAAACCTTTATCCTAATTAATTATGAATATGAATCTGTATTGGCTGATATACATGGCACATTGCTTGGTCGGGTGAAATTGTCACTCAACAATAAAGAATTATTTATTACTTTTACAATTAACACAGGGAATGAAATTTTCAAACAATTATATACATGTATATTATTATCAAAAATGGTAGATGTTGATTGCAAGAGTGCAAATAAATTTTATATCCTAAATTTAATCTAATAAGTCTTCATACATCCTTTAACAGGTGATTTCTTCGGTGTGATATGAAGTTTCTTTCAGATGAAAAAAAAAAGATGTCATATTACATGATACAAATGTATTCATTATGCGAGCGTACATCAACGCAGGTATGTTAAGGCAGCACATGGATCAGAATTCGGCGAATTATCACTTTTTTATAATTATGTAACACTAATAAATCGGAAAAGTTAAGGATAAACTTTTGCTATAATTATGCATTCTATAGACTTCAATGGCACTTATACTACAGGAGGCACTTCACCACGACGTCACCACGTGACGTCTATAATTAGAAAATATGCCTTAACGAAAAAGTGAAAAGTTTAACACTACCCCAGGGATAATTAGTTTCAATTTATAATAATAGTTATGTAAAAACATCTCTGTACCATGAAAAGTGCTGCTAGAATCGTGCTGTCCTATTATAGAAATAATTATTCAACAATTTCGGACGGAACCTTCCCAAAATTTTTACATTTTGTTCATAACATTGAAAAAAAAGTATCAATTCCCGTAAACCATACGATTCTAGCAGCACTTTTCAAAAACAAAAGAATAAGAACTTTAGATAGAAACAAAAATTAAGTTTCAAGGTATGCGGCGTAGTGTTGAACTTTTGCATCTTTTTTGTTACGAACGACAGAGGAAAGGCTGATCGGCATGTAAACACCCTCCCTGCTATAAATTCTACGAGGAAATTGCAAAATTATATTACCATACCTTATTCATACGCTTTATTCCCACAAGAATCACACATGATATTCATTCTAAATGCTTTTAAACTCCAATTTCTTGTGTTTGTTTACATCAATTCTCGTTACGATTCAGTTTCACTCTGCTACTGCATGATCAACAGTTATGACGTCACGGGTTTGGTGTGTAACCCCTGTGATAACTACAGAGGCCCAGGAACGACAAAATTCCGTTTACAGTATGCCTCTGCATATTTTGATTCATCTTTACGACTTCAAATCAATCTTAGATATCGATTTTAAGAAATTATTATCTCTAAACCTCACGTCATATAGCTTACTATGACGTCATATCATATAGGCAAGTAGAATATTTGGTTGTAACCTTAACCTACCTGCGAAGACTGACCTAATGTCCTATACATGACAGTGGTTCTTAGTAATTCATTTTTTGTGAGCTTTCGATTGTAGCAAACACGAAAGTGTCAGTGAAAGAAGCAATGACGCTTGCTAAAGTTACAAGAATTTGAGAATTTGATCACGTACATGTCAACTTGATTACTCATCCGTAAGACTCTAGTCTCATTCACAACACATTTGCATGGATGAACTGTGTCACAACAAAAGTGCACCAATTTTTTTCTTCAAAAGCTCCACGAAATCTTTTATTTCCCCGGGTGATTTCAGTCATCTAAAATGTTATATTTCAAAAGGTTACAATTATAGGTCAATCAAAAATGCTGTTTAAAATATCAACATTTTGAAAATTCTGCGTTGAAACAAAAGGTCCTGTTAGAGATGCAGTATATCGTTGAGTCCAATGTTTTTGGTCGACCATTGTTTTCATGCTTAATTGTTTGTTATATACTGGTGATCAATAAATAACATGTATGGCAGATCCAAAGGGTATGCTTACTCTTCCATGTTTTCTGAAATCTTTTGGGGAAAAAAATACGTCTTAATCAACAGTACGCAACCTTTCTGTTGAGTTGATGCACTGTTTTTAAAATGAAGAATTCTTAATAGTCTGGTCCTGATTTTTAAAAAGAAGGCTAGAAATAACTTCTAACGGCAAATAATTATTATTTGGTCCAGCATAGTTTTTTAACCTAATTCGAGTATGCTGAATCCGATAAAAATATGCTGGCCTTCATGAAAATGGCGTTAAAGAGGTCAAAATGGCGATTCAAAATGGCGGACGTCAAATTTTTCTAATTTTCTCTAAATGGCGTTCAAAATGGAGAAGAAATGAGTGAATATCTAACTGATTGTAATAAAACTATACAAAATAAAATAGAATGATAACATTATTAGTTTAATTCAGAAAATTTAGTCGTTTCTACACTTAATTCGAATTTTCTGGACCAAATAATAATTATTTGCCGTTAGAAGTATTTTTTTCTATAAATCGGACCAGATTATAATAAAAGTCTAATAATGTTATACATATTTGTATGGTGAGGTTCTGCCAAAATAAAAATAAAGTTAATTAAAACAAGACAAAGTTTGTTTGAGAGCGATTCATTTTAAGTATAAGGTAATATCATTTCAACGCCGTTACGTTAAAAAAAACCCCATTTTTTTTAAGCAGATTTTATTTAAAAAATTAAAAAAAAAATGTCTGAAAGGTCAAATCTATGTTTGATAATATAAGTTGAATCAAAGTTCTTTTGATAAAAAACGATAAAATAGAATTATATAAAAGGTGTTTAAATAATAGATTTCACATCCCAAAGAATTTTCTATGTTATACTCTATATATCCCTTATTCTTCAAAAAGTCTTATCAGCCCCCGACCGAAGAAATTGGGGAGGGGGTATAGGTTTTCTTCTTATATGTACATCTCCTGTCTGTTCCTCCGTCTGTCTATCTTTCACTCAGTCTCACTTTTCCCTCACTTTTTGAAACAATTTTTCCAATAAACATACATGTAGTTATATTTATATGTGACATATTGATTGTTGCAAATAATCATTCTTTCATCTTCTAAACGTCAGCTAGAAGCCTTACGTAATGAAAATTCCAGGGTCGATAGTGTATAAAAGAACGAGTGCACTTATGGGCCCCGGTAAAATGTGAAAAAATAAACATTCAAATTAAGCAAAGTTTTTCATCCCAAATCATTGATTGATATCTAAACCGTAAGATTCAACAAATTTTACCGCTGAAATTTACGTATATACAAAGAACAAAACCCTATAGAATGCAGCAGGGGTTAGCCGACATTTGTGATTTTCTATATTGAATCGAGAACGGTCATTTATTTCAAAGCTTTTGTTTACTATGAGCCTAACTTTGTACAAACTTGTGCGAATGACAAAAGACGCATAATACATTTATAAAACTTGTGTGAAAGTAGGAAATCTGTACACGATTAGGCTGGTAGTTAAAATATTAAAAATGTACAAAAAGTACAATGTTTTTCCTATAGCAAGTGAGAGGTATTTACCTGTATGACCCATGTTGAACCCACTTGTGGAATAAATTATTTAAAATACTGATAGTCACGTACGTGAGTTCTACCCAGGTAAACATTCCTCAAAGGTGCTCACTGTAAAACATCGGCAGGTTTTTTATCATTTAGTCAAAGTCGCGCCGCTTAGAAATATTTCTATGTATCTATATTTAAGATTACGGTAGGGTAAAGAGAGTTTAGCGCCACTCATAAAAGTGTCAGACATTTTTAACATTTATGAAAGACAATGAAACAGGTATTGAAAGCTACCTAAACACTCCTTTTAGATTTCAAATTCATTTTATTAAGGTCTTCCGTTTCCAACGGAAGACCTTCTACTGATTCTGATGGTAAAGATTATTAAGGTCTTTCGTTTCAACGGAAGACCTTCTTATTATTCTGTTGTTTCTTTTCAACTTTTCTTATTATTATTCTTACCGATTTTGTGCAGGCGATTTCTCGTAAATGCTTCGATGGATTTTCATGAAACTTTCAGCATTGATGACAAATTATATGAACTTAAGGCGTTTTTTTTAAATTTGATGACGTCACTTCCGGTTCCGAGTTTTCTGCGATTTAGTGAGTTTTGAAGGGTCATTTTGTCCGGCATTTTTCTCAATAATGGCTCAAGACAGAAACATGAAACTTTCAGGTATGATAGACCAAAGTCTATAGATATGTATAAGGTATTTCATTTTTATCGGAAGTGCCGCACGTCGGCGCTAGCTATGGCCCGAAAATAGCCCTATCAAGAATTTCACAATTTTTAACAACTTTTCTACTATATCTTTTTACCTGGAAATATTTTTGTAAAAACACATAGAACAAAAGAAGTGTAGAATTTCAAGATCTTTCAAATGATATGTCGAAAAAAGGGCTGGCCCCTACATTAAAGGGCCTAGAGGGGCCGAAATTGTTTTCTTTATATCTCAAAAAGAATTGAGAATTTGTAATAGGTCAAAGAAGCAAAGTTTTTCAAAATGACAAGTTGAATCTATTGAAGTCGTCAAAATACGTCCGTCTTCGTCACTTCCGGCCAAACCGGAAGTAGTCGAAAAACGCGTATTTTTGCCGTTCTTGACAAGTTTTTGAATAACATATGTCTTCGTGAGCATAATAATTAATTTTCCGTCAGTCGTCGTCACTTCCGGTACAACCGGAAGTAGCTAAAATGGCTTATTTTTGCATTAATTAACATAGTTTTAGAGGACTCAAAGCATTTTTGTGCGTTATTTCTAATTTTTGTTAAAAATGAAAGCTACTTCCGGTCAAACAGGACGGAAGACCTACTCGTTGCTTTGCAACGAGCTTTGCTCTAGTTATTCTTTTTTTTCTTTTACTTCCTAGACGCCAACTTTGAGGCCTCATATCTCACTCATTTCTCAACGGATTTCGCTCAAATTTTCAGAGGTTATAGACGTTTATAAACTCTATCAGAATGATGACTAAAATTTCAAAAAGTCACTTCCAGTTTTGAGTTATTTCCCTTTAAACGAAAATTTATAGGTTTTCGTTTCCGGATAAAGGCTCAGAGACCACAAAAGCTGAAGCAGAATTTTTGCTGATTTTAGGAAACAGAAGGATTGAAGTTGTGCACATCGGTTTTTGTTTTTCGATTTCTGTATTCACAATGGCGCTATATAGGGGTAAAAAATTAGAACGCCTAAAAGAGCGAAAATTTACACATATTTTCCTTTTTATCTTGAAAACTAAAAATATTTTGTTAAGACATAATGAACAAAAGTTGTGCATAATTGCAAGGGCTTTCATATAATAATATTCAAAAGGGGCTGGCCCCTATAAATAGGGATCAAGGGACCTTGAAAGTTTTTGCTTTACAACTCAAAAACGGTAAGTATTTCGAAATATTATCGATTATAAAGTTGTGCTTTAACATCTTACTGATCTCATGAAATTGTAATTGTGTTCCGAGTCTTGTTTTAAAAGAGCTGGTGCATGACTTATATATGCACAGGTAATTCTTTTCACTCAGCACGTAAACGAGAGCTTCTCATGCTAATATCCAAAGCAAGTTACTATAAATAATAAACATGGCTACATTGGATGCTAATATTCTTCAGAATAAAGTTCTCGAAGTGTTTGTGCTTTTTTTTTTTTTTTTTTTTTTTTTTTTATACAAATTATCATGTTTATTCACTGACAACTTTCCCTTTTATTTCACTTTTTAAAAATCGTATAAACCAAGTCTACTAAAAAAGGAAGAAAATATCATCTTTTCCTCTTATCACATAAAAGCAAACAATATAGTGAGAAAATAAAACATAACTAAAAAGCACATATACTATTCACAGTCATTAAGTGCACGGCTTCAACATTCACCTTGTTTGTTTACAATTATATAACGCGCCTCCCTCGATAGCAGCGGGGCAAAGTCGGTCACTGGGAATCAATCGGCGTATGATCCAGAGACCCACAGTCATACACAAAAAAAAAAAAAACCCACCACAGAATGGTTAAATTAATTCTTGATAAAATTGTTCCTGCTTATACTATCTCTGTCCCATGAAAATATTATTTTGTTCGAGTCTTACGTATGGTAGGAAAGAAAGCTAGATCCGTATTCACCGTAAACAAGTCTCCGTTCTCATTTTGATATTGAAGAACTCTTTAGGCATATAATTGAAATAAACTTGCCGTAAGTAATAAATATTTTACCACGCTGTATCATATCTCTTTTTTTAATTAGGTTTTAAACGTGTTCTTTGATTCCCGTTCAGAGTATTCGGTAGTATCTTTTTCCTTTTATTAATAAAGATCTTTCCAAGAGAAAGAGTTATAGAAAAAAGTACCAGCATCTTTTATTCGTTTAAATATGAACATAAACAATATGAACGGAAACAATATACGCCCGGATTTCATTAAGAAAAATTTTAAAGAGTCAAATAATACACAATTATTTACTGTGCGATTCTCGTATTCACCTGGAACCAGAATTCTTTTTTTAAAGTGTGTTTACCATTACGTAATCTATCTTTCGATTACATGCTGCCGAGAAATTCTATAAAGCGACACACCGCGGTGAACCATTGACCCCGCAGTCATAGACAAATAATTGGTATAATATACAAACCATTCTACAACAGTAAGAAAATATTATTTTCTCTAAGTAAATCAAATCTTTTAAAGATATCTTAAAATGTTTTAGGTTTGACTTTAGTACAAAACGCTGGGGCATTTATTTTACATGTACATTAATCAGTCTTCAATTCATAAATAATTATATTCGTTAGATCCATGTGTAATTTGACGATTCATAGCGCAAGGACTGGCGATCTGCAGTTACTTTACTTCAACTAATATTTATTAAAATGCACAAGCTTTCCTCTTTTCACAAAAATAAATATTTTTTTTTCAACACAAGTTTTCCGAAACACATTTTTTTTTTTATCACAGATGTTAACCATTGCTATACCAATTTTAAACTTTTAAAGAGAATCTTCCGAATCGTAAGGATAGAATTATACTCAATGAAATGGACTAAACATCGATAAGTAACACCGGCACATGTAAACTTCATAAGTGACTTCTGTGCTGCACACTGTCTATTAATTTATATTACAGGTTTTAAAGTAAAGTTCAAGAAATAATGAATTTAAAGCAATGAACTTAATTTGTTTTATAATTTATTCAAAACCCGTATAAATGATCAGTACGAGCTAACATTGTAATTTTGTTCCGTGATTAAATATCAGTAGCAGGTTATACAATGTACATTCAAGTAGTAGTAAACCCGCATATGTCCAGAATCGAGAATTTAAGAACTTATATACCGGGGTGACAATGTTATCTGAATATTACAGACTTATCATGTAATTAAACGCTTTTACAACCTAAATTAAACTGTTAAAATCATAACCGGCACCAAAGTCAAATCATTTGTATCGTTAACCGTCTATAACTCAGTATTTTCTTTAAAATGATGAACTTACATCTAGCGCAAATTACTTTCCTTGGTTTAAAAAATACGCGTACGAGAGAAAACGAGGGGCATTTTATTCAAGTACATTCAAGTTTTTACCAGCGAGTCCCTGTATCAAGTATTGTCTCATTTTTTAATCTATTAAACATAATCTCCCTTTCCTATTTTAATTTTAATTTATTTGATGACTTTATTCAACTTCAAGCACAATATCATTATGTAGTACTAAAATGAAGTCCATGCACGGATGCTATTGTACATCGGGAATTTTCTTTAATCCTTTATCCATTTATTCCTCCTTCAAGGTAAATAATTATGAATGAATTGATTGAATAACGTGTATAAAACCATGTGGTTTCGGTTTGTCAACGTGTTTTAGATCATGATCAGCAAATCACAACTCCTCGGGTCTTCTTGTCTAACAGAATAATAACCTCGAATGTATTACGTATACATCATGACATCCCCATGCTCCTTAACCCCTTTATCTAAACTTTGAAATAAATGAGGAAAGATATTTTATTTGTGGACTTTTGAGTTTAATTTTATTGAAAGTAAAGCTATTACCCTAAAATACGTATTATGGAAAGGACTTTCAACCCCGTCTATCTTTCATAAATAGAAACTCCATGTTGTTTGAATATCCGGTGATGTTTTAAAATACTAGTACCTCAATGTTGTTTTTCTGACCTGTTACAAAATGGTGCGAGATAATGCAAATTTCAAACATCATCATCGGCCAATGACAGAAAAGTTGTAAACTTCCTGTCAGGGTTATAAACTTCTAATCACTAAAAGGTGTTTGTCTTGACACAGAGCCAAGGTTATTCTGTTAAGATCAAGGTCACTGACAGAAGAAATATTTTCTTTACTACGCTATGAATTAGTAAATGAAAATTATTGGAGGCTCTTACTTGAAACATACATTACTTATGATTGGAGGTTTTGTCATGACCCTGATCAAATGTCTTTCTGGCAAATCAAGGTCACTGACAAAGAAAAAAAAATGTTTAAGCATAACTTTATAATTAAAATTTACTGGAGGCTCATGCTGGGAAGAAAGGTTGTTGACATAAGAAAAGTGCAGTGACCTTGACCCAAGGTCTGTACTTCCTGTCCACAGCTCCAACGGAAGACCTACTCGTTGCTTTGCAACGAGCTCGGCTCTAGTTGTATATATTTCTTCAAATGCAAGAGTACCGATTTCTTAGTTTGATTATTATGGCTACAGGCAACTACACAACTTCTTTCAATTTTTAAAAACAGTTATAACAGTTTTTTAAAACCGACTATGATCCACCATCAGATTGTTCAAGATCTCTTCGCCTTGGTTTACATAAACGAAACTAAAAGAAGGTTCGGTACGACTTTTCCGGATTTTTAGGGTGTCCTTATAGGCATTTAAAAAAAGTCAATTGTTTCAAATCCATGCTGATTCGGGTAATGATTATCGTGCTTTTTAATTAGAAATATACACTAGTTTATTATATACCTATTGTGTATCACCCAATTTTACTGTTGAATTTACGCGATCACGTGACGTCGTGATCCGATTTTCCGGATCACCAACATGTTATTCACCACTCTCTGAAACTGATGACTTAGTACGCAGAAATATGACGTTATTTTTCTTGCGCGTTAAAAAGTCCCTTGTTATTATGCTTTGTTTTATGGATAAATGTTATGCAATTGATCTCTAAAGTTTTCTTTTGCTATATTTTGCTAGTTATGAGGGGGTATATAATAAATTTATCATTATAACAGTAACTTGATCTGAAGAGCCGTATCACGTCTCGTTGACAGGCGCGGATCATCAGATCAAACTCGACGCTTCGTGTCTGGTTAGATCTGATGATCCGCCCCGGTCAACTCGACGTGATACGACCCTTCGGATCAAGTTACTGTTATGATAATATATATATATATATAACTATTTCCAAATGAGAATGATCTGGTTATATATTCTAAAGTAAAATGGCACATAAAAAGGGCCCATTAAGCATTGCTTAAGTGCACTTGTCCTTTACATGTACTGTACATTCGTACAAGCACAAACTATCAATTTTATCGAAATTCTTAGTAAATAAAAAAAAAATATTTGTAATAATCATTATAGATATAAGTTTTTTTTCTTTTTTTCTTTTAATTTTGGTAAAATTGATGGATACGCGAGCTCCTGTGGTACAAGGGTTTTTTGTACGTTTTCTTTTTAATTCAATCGGGCTCGGTGTGCATGAAATTCACAAAAGCTAACAAAAATACAAACTCATCATGCCGAGAGACGTTGGTGCTTATTTATCAGAACAACAGAGGAAAACATCGGGAGAAGTAGCATCAGAATGGGGCCAAATCGAAGAACTTTACAACAAAAAGTTTGTATGATCCACGTATATTTCCAGAAAACATGATTACATTTAGAAAAATAAAAGAGGGGGGGGGGGGTGCTTACCGGTATTTTAGTTGTTTACTGTTTTTATGAAAGATATAAAAACAAAAGGGAAACACAGAGGTGAATGTGTTTTAAAAATCACAATTTTTGTGTATGTACATCATACATTTATTAAATTTTACAGATTATGGCATCAACTCACATTGAAGCTTCTCAATTTTGTGAAGAATCCCATATTTTCAAAGGGAGATGGTCTCATCAAGGTAACCGTAAATGATTTAAGTTATGTGTATGTATGTAGGAAACTGTAAAAAAAAGGTCTTTTTATATTATCAATCAAGCCTAATTTCAATGGATGTGAAAAAAAAACACTACAGTATTGTCCTAAATAATCAAATGCAGGTTTGTCGCATTGAGGATCTATTTTTTTTAATTGCATTATTATAATAACAAAGACATCATACTATTTCTTGTTCAATCATCTTAAAGGACACATTCACACAATATTGGTTTAACAGTGTTGAACCAAGCACAGAAGTTGACAGTTTTATCCATTTAACAACATAAACAACAACCATTGCATGAGCTTCAGGAGCGCAGACTTGTCGAAATCCGTCGGTCCTGTCGGCAAGGCCGGTAAAAATTTGTCTGGACCGATAAGATTTAAGAAAATGTCGGTCCAGATGACCGGTTGAAAAAAATTGAGCGTAATGCAAATTTAATAAAGGTCGGGATCGGGATGCGTAGTTAAAGGTCACAAACACAGAAAAAATGGCCGCGTACGCGGCATGTTGACGATAGCCAAGTAAATTTGTTATAACAAAGTCATAAATCATGTCATTTATGTCTATGTTAAAGACTCTCTATCCCAAGAAAGGAAACTTGTTAGATTTAAGGCTATTGAAAATAATAAGGGGCATTTTGGTGCTGTTATTCATATGACTTTCTCAGCGTCAAAATAAGGTACAAGTATCTGGTCTGACAAAAGTTTGACTGGTCCGACAGAACATTCGACTTTGTCAGACCAAATGTCTGACAGTGACTAAAAAATTTCGACAAGTCTGGGAGCGTTGTTAGATCATGTCCACTAGCACCTGTACCGTACCATTATAAATAGAGAACAGAGATAATATATTTATAGTAGCTTTAAATGTTAATTTTATAAAATGAATGCAGTTTTTAATCTTTTTATCCCATTTTTGTAGATGTATGAAAACTTCATTGCAGATTTTGAACACAGGTGAGTAATTGACATTTTAACTTAAGTTTAAGTGTATGTATACGTAAAGGCCTTCAAAATATACTAATAAAAACAATTAAATCATGTTTTCAACGTACATGAAGATTTTATGCTTAGAAAATTTAAAGAACACTGATTATCTTGAAGTATTTTAAATCAAGCTATTTTTTAGGTCACCTGAGTCACTCAGGTGACCTATTGCTATCTGTTTTCGTCCGTCGTTGTCCGTTGTACGTCGTTCTTCGTTCATCGTCAATCAGTCGTAAACTTTTGAACATTTTCAGCTTCTTCTCTGCAACCACTGAACCAATTTCAATCTAATTTGACACAAAGCATCTATGGGTGAGGGGGAACAAAACTTGTGAATTTCATGATCCCTGCCCCCCTGGGGCCTGGGGGGTGGGGTGGGGCCCAAACCACTAAAATTAATTAATGCAATCTTTAAAAATCTTCTTCTTTACTCCTGGACATCAAGCAGTCAAACTGTTTGTATGATTGTAATCAGCATTGAGTCCTCTACCAAAATTGTGAAATTCATGGCCCTGGGGTCAGGGGTTCTTTTGCTAGGGTGGGGCTAAATAAGTATTTAGTGAAAATGCATTATTTCTTTGAAAATATTCTTCTCTTCTCCTGGGTATTAAATAAACTAACTTAGTACATAGTTATGATGAGCAAGCGTGCCTCTACGAAAATTGTGAATTTTATGGCCCAAGGGTCAGGGGTTCTGGTGTTAGGGCGAGTCTCTATTGATCATATAGTGAAAATATATGAATTCTTTGAAAATCTTCTTCTCTGCTCCTATGTATTAAATAAACTAACTAAATTCAGTGATTGGGAAGGCCAAAATGGTCAATGGGACTATGGCGCAACTGTCAACATTTTTGATGGGCCATTTCGAAAATGAATGGGCCATCCATATAATCTGAAGGGCCATTTTAAGAAATAACAATGACAAACAAATATGAAATACGAGAGAAAACACGTTTTTGATTAACCAAATTTCAACGCATGAAATGCAGTAAATTTAATGGAACTTTCATACACTATAACTGACCCGTATTTTGTGTTAAAATTACGATAGTTTTGGAAAGGGAACAGTCCTACCATACAAATGAATGAAGTATTGTACCTCATGTAAGTGCTTCGTTTAACCGGTATTACTTTTTGACAGGTTTGAACCAATGAGATTTGTTTTAAATTGACTGCATTTAAAACGAAATTAAAACAAGAAAGAAGGTCATACACAAAATATTTCCAAATAACATCGCTAAAATTGAATGCGCACCTTGTCGCCATGATTGATTGATTTAATGCACCATTTTTCACTTCAATGAAACTATGGCGCATGACGCAAGCCCTTCCCAATCACTGTAAGTTCATAGTTATGTTGAGCAAGAGTGCCTCTACGAAAATTGTTTTTTGTATTATTTTGTATTTATTTTATGGCCCCAGGGTCAGGGGTTCTGGTGTTAGAGCGGGGCTCTATAATTGATTATATAGTGAAAATACATGAATTCTTTGAAAATCTTCTCTGCTCATAGGTATTATATAAACTCACTAAGTACATAGTAATGATGAGCAAGAGTGCCTCTACGAAAATTGTGTATTTTATGGCCCCAGGGTCAGGGGTTCTGGTGTTAGGGCGGGGCTCTATTGATTACATAGTGAAAATACATGAATTCTTTGAAAATCTTCTTCTTCTGCTCCTAGGTATTATATAAACTAACTAATTACATAGTTATGATGAGCAAGAGTACATCTACAAAAATTGTTAATTTTATGGCCCCAGGGTCAGGGGTTCTGGTGTTAAGGCGGGGGCTCTATTGATTCTTTAGTTAAAATACATGGATTCTTTGAAAATCTTCTTCTCTACTCCTAGGTATTATATAAACTAACTAATTACATAGTTATGATGAGCAAGAGTACATCAACCAAAATTGTGAATTTTATGGCCCCAGGGTCAGGGGTTCTGGTGTTAGGGCGGGGCTCTATTGATTATACATGTATAGTGAAAAAAACATTAGATCTTTGAATATTTTCTTCTTGTGCTGGGTATTAAGCAGATGAACTACCTATATAGTTATGAGCAAAGGCCCTAATCTTTAAGCATTTTGAATTTCAAGGCCCCAGGGTCAGTTGTACCATAGAGGGGGGGGGGGGGGGGGGAGGGCTGTACTTATATACTGAAAATGAATGAATTGTTTGAAATCTGCTCCTTGGTATTAATCAAGTATTTTTGAAAAGCAAGGATGCCTTTTCAAAAATTGTGCAATGTGTGGATCTAGGCCTAAGATTCAAGGATTCCTGTGTGGTAGCATCACTACTGATTATTGCTGAATATTACTGATTTGTTGAAATGCATTTTTTGTTCCCCTACCCTGCCTATGGCTATTAAGTAACAAAACTAAGCAACTGCTAAGTGTATAGTTATGATGATCAAAATTGTAAATTCTATAGCATCTGGCTTAAAACATGGATCAAATTCAATCACTGCAGGAAAGTTGTTGCATAATGCTCAGGTGACCTATAAGGCCCATGGGCCTCTTGTTTTGATATCAGATGACAATGATATTAGAGTGTGTAGTTTAATTACACAATCATTTTTTTTTTACAGAATCAACCTGCTAGCTTTGGCTGAATTAACTGTATATATAGTCAAACAGATGACAGGTAATCTTGTCAATATCTTGGGACATACTTTTCTAGGATATACATCCCCACTACAGGGATCTGCATTAACTTTTTAGCTCACCTGAGCCAAAGGCTCAAGTGAGCTTTTCTGATCACAATTTGTCCGTTGTCTGTCGTCGTTGGTGTTGTTATTGTCGTCGTCATAAACTTTTCACATTTTCAACTTCTTCTCAAGAACCACTTGCCCAATCTACCAAATTTGCCACAAAGCATCCTTGGGTGGAGGAGATTCAAGTTTGTTCAAATGAAGGGCCATACCCACATTCGAGGGGAGATAATTTGGAATTAATAAAAATATGGTGGTATGTTTTAAAAATCTTCTCAAGAGCCACTGTGCCAGGAAAATCTTTTTCTCAAGAACAACAAAGCCATAATTGATCATATTTATATTGAAGCATCCTCAGGTAGTGTAGATTGAAGTTTGTTCAAATCATGACCACCGGGGGTAGGGCGGGGCCACAATGGCCCCAAAGTTTTATATAGAAATATATAGGAAAATTCTTCAAAATTCTTCTTCTCAAGAATAACAAAGCCATAATTAATCATATTTATATGGAAGCATCCTCAGGTAGTGTGGATTCAAGTTTGTTCAAATCATGACGGCGGGGGGTAGGACGAGGCAATAATGGCCAACCAAAGTTTTACATAGAAATATATAGAAAAATTCTTTAAAAATCTTCTTCGCAAGAAAAGCAAAGCCATGATAGGTCATTGGTCTACTTTTGGATTTAAACTATTCAATAATAAACTAATTTCTACTTTTTCCTAGCCACAGTGCCCAGGTAACTGATTTGGCCCATGGGCCTCTTGTTTTCCTACTTGCCCATTTAGACAAGTGACCAAGATATTTACTTGTCCAAACTTCAACTTCACTTGTCCGAAAATTTTTCAATAAATATCTAATTTTGTCAACTTGAAAATAATTAGGATTTATAACTTAAAATAGAGTCCATGTCATATGTGAATGATTGATTTGTCTTGTTATTGATAAATACAACAAACATACACACAAAAAATTATTTATTTAAACTTCCTGTCCTGACAACAACATAAATGACCACAAGTGAATCTGTAAACATCAAGGCCTATATACCGAAGATACATGCCTCGTATGCAATTAGAGAACATAGATCCCGATGAAGTGTTATCTCAATATTACATAGTGATTTATATCGGGATTGAAAAATACAACATAGACAATGATATGCAAGATACCCAAAAGTTTATTTCCCCTTGAACCAGTAAAATTTGTCCTTAATGGCAAACACTGACCCACACAAATTAAAGTGACATTCAGTTGTATCAGTTGTGTGCTGCTAACTTTTTAATAGCAGAGAACATTTGAAATAATGAAAAAGAATAGAGAAAAATAATCTGTTCTTGTCTATATAGATTTCAAAAAAAAGATAAAATACAGTATAAGGCCATCCTTAAAAATTGTTTGTTTGAAATTGCCGTCTGAAGGGTTTCAGACACAGGAGGGAGGGAGGGAAATAATTTTATTTTATATATCGAAGATAAATTTTAAATTTTGGATAAAAATATCAGTAAATAGTAAATACATTTTCTGACTTTTAAGAAAAAGTATCTACCATCACAGGGTTGTGGTAAACCACTCGCCCACTCGCCAATGCAATTAAAATTTCAAGTGGGCAATGAAGAAATCAAAATTTGATCGCCCACTTGGCGAGCGTCTTGTTCTCGGAACATGACCGTGCTTTGTTTGTATTTTTATAATCCACTTCCTTTTTTCATAACAAACACTACGCTAACCATGACTTTTGGTGTCGTGTGCAAACTATTACATTTGTATACCATACAAGCACCAGGGTTCGAAATTCACTATATACAACTCGCAAAATGCGAGTTAGAATTTCCAAATTGCGAGTTAAAAAATTTGTAACTCGCAAGTTTTTGCGAGTTGATTTTTTCCACTGTAAATGTCACCAAGGGAAAAATTTATCTGACATCCCCCATTTTTAAACCCATGTCCGACAACCAGGCCTAAAAAAAATGACCGATCTATTCAAATTACCTCCAGGTGGATTTTTTTTCTCCCAATCTGTGTGGTTTGTTCAATCAGCTGATTTGGAATCCATTTATTCAAAAAAATATTAATTGTAGCTTAACTTGAGACATAAAATATGTCAACCTAATTAACATTTACCTTAAATATAAAGAGTAATCATAATGTATTATTGTAACAACAATTTCCCCCCACAACTTTTGAAGTTCTTTTTTTGCGTTTAGGCAGTCATGTTGGTTGCCATGTTAGGTGTCCACTGTAATATAACACCTGGTTTATTCCGTCCGGGGATGTTTGGCTCTATTAATCATAAGGGAAAAAAATCTTGACCTTCTGAACAATGATTTTTGAGGAATGTTACAGAAAACAAGCATATTTTTTTTTAAACTACATGTAGAAAATTTTAAAATTTTGTTTTGAATGGATGGTGATTTATTTCTAGAAAACTTTCATTTTAAAATTGCGAGTTGTCTTTTGAAATTGCGAGTTCATATTTTTGGAACTCGCAATTATTTGCGAGTTGTAATTTTCGGGAGTTTCTACCCCTGAGCACTAGTGTGACCTAGACGTATGCCCTAGTGAAACCAATAATGTGGCGGTTTATTGATGGGGTAATTAATTAAATAAATTATTTTACCCAAAAAAGTACTGCACAATAATTGTTATATATACAAAGAAAAGCAGCATTTTCAAATATTTTGTTGAAGAGGTACCGGGGTATGTGGGCCCGTAAATCACATTGTGGGCCCCTAAACTTTGAAAAGTAAGGGGCCCACGTGGCTCCTAGGATGTAAATGGTTAACCACAACCCTGCATCAACAAAAAAAACTAAATTTACATAGATCTGACACTCTTTTGCTCTGTTCTGTTTTGTATGGTGCATGTGATACATGTAATGGGCAAAAAACTGATTAAATAAAAAAAAAATCTTGCTACTTTTCATAAATAAATTTTTTTTCAGGAGGGGGCATTTCAATGGGACGGGAGGCAATTCCAAACAAACTATAATTTAATTTTGGCATAATGTACATGATTTACCTATTTGAAAACATTTCTTTTCAATATTTAGATGCTGATGCAGCTGTGTCATTTATTGAGAAAATAAAAGTAAAAGCCAGCGAGGAAGCCAAGATACTGTGTCTACATGTAACAACAATGGGAACAATAGAACTGAGAACACGTGACTTACCTGCAAAAGAGTTAATAGTGAACTTCACGGTACTTCTATCTAGACTATATACAGTACAACTTTATAAGGGTTTTATGATGAGAGCATCAGTAAATACTACTGAATTTAAGGGCTACAATACTGTAATATCCTGAGTATTGGCCACCCTTTTTTTGTCAAAAAATAGTTCAAAAGTAGGGTTGCACTCAATACATAAAACAAAATTTAATCCCCTTTTTAGCTCACCTGAGCCAAAGGCTCAAGTGAGCTTTTCAGATCATATTTTGTCTGTCATCCGTCTGTCCGTCAGTCTGTTCGTCTGTAAACTTTTCACATTTTCGACTTCTTCTCAAGAACCAATGGGCCAATCTTAAGCAAACTTGGTACAAAGCATCCTTGGGTGAAGGGGAGTTTAAATTGTTAAAATGAAGGGCCAAGTCCCCTTACAAGGGGAGATACAGTACCCGCATCATTATTCTTTACAAATCTATCGTGTCCTATCGTGCATGTATCCTATCGTATCGTGCGTGTATCCTATCGTATCGTGTGTGTATCCTATTGTATCCTATTGCATCGTGTTTTCCGTTTATCTTGTTTTGCGTTTTCTATCGTGTTTTCCGTTTATCGTGTTTTGCCTTTATCGTGTAGATCGTTTATCAGGTTCTATCATGCTTTGCGCTTATCGTGTATATTTGGAAACCCTCGCTTTTTATCTTTACTTCCGGAAGAAACTAGCGAGGTATTCCGTGTTTCTTTTTATACCCCCGAAAACGAAGTTTAGGGGGGTATATTGGAATCACCATGTCCGTCTGTCTGTCCGTCCGTCTGTAGACAAGATTTTGTCCGGACCGTTTCTCAGAAACTGTTGGATGGATTTGTCTGAAAATTTATACAATTATTTTTCACCATATGAAGGTGTGCACCTGGAATTTTCATCATGATTGGATGATTTCTCTGCATTTTACAGGCGTTTTTCCTTTTTTATTTTGTGATTTTGTTTGGCTCATAACTAGAAAACTATAAGACTTACAATCATCAAACTTGGACAATTTATGCATCTTGGGTAGACGGTGTGTCCCGACCTATTTCAAGGTCACTGTGACCTTTAATTTAAGTGATTTTTTTTAAAAAAACTAAGTCTTTAAAATTTTAAATTTCATAATCCTAAAAAATGTAAAAATATAGTTGTATCCTTATTAAAAAATGCTAAATTATTTAAAACCTTATTTTTTCATCATATACTTTACAGCAAATTCTGTAAAAAATGTCAATGATTTGAGAGGAATTCAGTTTGTCCCATGGGCATAATTATCAAGCACTGGTCAAGAAGAATTTTTGATAGCAGAAATGTGCATGTCAAATTAGAGAGAAATTAATGAGTTCATTGTCGGGAGTTAACTGGCAAGAGCATCATGCTGTATTATCTTAATTTATCTCTTGGGAGTTGGGCAAAAAGAAATGGCCTTTTAGTTGCTTGTGTTAATTAAGAGTTCTTGATGGCTGTAGTTCATATAAAGATCTTTCAATTGGTGTAATGTAATAATTAAAACAAATTGATGTTTTAGTTTATGATTAAGACTGATTAAAACTGAATTAGTATTGTATAATATAATTAAAATTAATTATACATGTGTTCTTTGAAAAAATATTACATTTCAATTTTTATATATTTGCAACAAATTGCAGTCATGTCTCACTTAGAATTTTATAGTCTAAAGAATAATTATTAATTTTTGATTTTTTTTTTATTAGACTGTAGCATTTCCATTATTTCATAAAATATGCAATAAACAATAAACAATTTAAGGCTGCAGATGGATAATTGTTAAGCTCTAACTCAGCCAGTTTAGAATTATATGATGTACGTATTATTTGTTTTAATTAATCCCTTCACTGTAAGTCTCTTTAGAGATGTATGTAAAATATTTTAAACCTGATAAGAAATGGAAAATAGATCATTGAAATCTGTGTCAATCTGTTAATCAAGGTTACTTGATTTTCTTGCACCCTAACCAATTTATGATTATTAAACAATATTTGATTGGCGTATCATGCTGTGGCGGGGCACTTTATTAGACGATAGTGAACACCTCTTACTAGATCCATAAAATATTTCTGAATTGGCACCTACTCTGAAAAACCAAGCGGGGGTATTTGTCCCTATTGGACAGTTCTAGTTCGTTTTGTTGACTAAAATAAGATTATTTTAACCAAGAAAGAGAAAAAAAGTTGTATTCCTTAGTTTTTTCATCATTAAAAGAAATAAGACAGCGGAACATTAACTGGCAAAATTGGAAATATACAGCTTACGTCATTATACCCCCGCAAACAAAGTTTAGGGGGGTATATTGGAATCACCATGTCCGTCTGTCTGTCCGTCTGTCTGTAGACAAGATTTTGTCCGGACCGTTTCTCAGAAACTGTTGGATGGATTTGTCTGAAAATTTATACACTTATTATTCACCATAGGAAGTTGTGCACCTGGGATTTTCATTATGATTGGATGATTTTTCTGCATTTTACAGGCGTTTTTTCTTTTTTATTTTGTGATTTTGTTTGGCTCATAACTAGAAAACTATTAGACTTACAATCATCAAACTTGGACAATTTATGCATCTTGGGTAGACGGTGTGTCCCGACCTATTTCAAGGTCACTGTGACATTTAATTTAAGTGATTTTTTTTAATAAACTAAGTCTTTAAAAATTTAAATTTCATAATCCTAAAAAATGTAAAAATATAGTTGTATCCTTATTAAAAAATGCTAAATTAAGTAAAAACTTATTTTTTATCATACACTTTACAGCAAATTCTGTAACAAATGTTAATGATTTGAGAGGAATTCAGTTTGTCCCATGGGCATAATTATCAAGCACTGGTCAAGCAGAATTTTTGATAGCAGAAATGTGCATGTCAAATTAGAGAGAAATTAATGAGTTCATTGTTGGGAGTTAACTGGCAAGAGCATCATGCAGTATTATCTTAATTCATTTCTTGGGAGTTGGGCAAAAAGAAATGGCCTTATAGTTGCTTGTGTTAATTAAGAGTTCTTGATGGCTGTAGTTCAGATAAAGATCTTTCAATTGGTGTAATGTAATTAAAACAAATTGATGTTTTAGTGTATGATTAAAACTGAATTAGTATTGTATAATATAATTAAAATTAATTATACTTGTGTTCATTGAAAAAAAATTACATTTCAATTTTTATATATTTGCAACAAATTGCAGTCATGTCTCACTTAGAATTTTATAGTCTAACGAATAATTAATTTTTGATTTTTTTTATTAGAATGTAACATTTCCATTATTTCATAAAATATGCAATAAACAATTTAAAACTGCAGATGGATATTTGTTCAGCTCTAACACAGCCAGTTTAGAATTATATGATGTATTATTTGTTTTAATTAATCCCTACACTGTAAGTCTCTTAGAGATGTATGTACAATATTTTAAACATGATAATAAATAGAAATTAGATCATTGAAATCTGTGTCAATCTGTTAATCAAGGTTACTTGATTTTCTTGCACCCTAACCAATTTATGATTATCGAACAATATTTGATGGGCGTATCATGCTGTGGCGGGGCACTTTATTAGACAATAGTGAACACCCCTTACTAGATCCATAAAATATTTCTGAATTGGCACCTACTCTGAAAAACCCAGCGGGGGTATTTGTCCCTATTGGACAGTTCTAGTTTCTATCTGTTACAATCAAAACATTCAATGATAGACAACGAAATGGGCGGGTACTATTCCACGCGGACATTTGGAAAACATCGGATTGAAATTGCAGATCGAAATTCATTTTCAATCCACCTGAGCTGTTTTCAAAGCAAAGAGTGAATGTATGATCCAAAAATCAACTAATTTCAAATCTCAAATACATATTGTTTGAAGTTCACATTAATATGAGTTTTAGCTTATAATTTTAAGAACGCAAAAGATCATAGAAGACAAAGATTATTTTTCAGGAGATATTTGATTCTAGAAGGGGGGGGGGGGGGGGGAATTGTCGAATCAGGTCATGGGTCAACATGACAAAATATTTTATTTCTAGGATCATCATCTTCCCAAGTCAAGAGTTTCTGATCCGCTCCGCTACACATAATGTTTATGTTGAGCCGAGCGGATCAGAAACTCTTGACTTAGGAAGATGTAGGAACATAAGAGTGCATGAGTTTTATACTTATTCTCACTGAAAACAGTACTGTTGGACAACTGTATTTAAAAATCATTCAGCCCCCCCCCCCCCCAACACAAACATACAATATGTACATATATTTACAAAACAGAAATGAAATATTTGTCCCTTAAATATTAATTTATTTAAAACACTGGACAAAAAAAAATTCAAACTGTATCAAAATTGAAATTGTCTTCTGGGTCAATCAGTAAGAATGTGCCTTCTAGCATATCTGAGGTGGATTGAAAATGAATTTCGATCTGCAATTTCAATCTAATGTTTTCCAAACGTCCACATCGAATTGTACCCGCCCATTTCATTGTCTATCACTGAATGTTTTGATTGGAACAGATAGAAATGACGTAAGCTGTATATTTCCAATTTTGCCAGTTAATGTTCCGCGGTCTTATTAAAGTTTGGAAGGAAAAGAATAAATATATAAATAATATAATTAATAAATTAAATAATTAATAATAAATTTGATTAAGAAAATAATCATATCATAGTCAAGCAGAGAATCAAAATTAATTTTTGAAAATGAAATAATCGATTCCATGTTTTTTTTTATACATCGAATTGTATGGTTTTTTGGACCCAAAATAAATATGAATAAGATTTTTAGGTCACCTGAGTAAACTCAGGTGACCTATTGCTATCCTTTTTCGTCTGTCGTTCGTCGTCCGTCGTGTGTTAACATTTGAACATTTTCAGCTTCTTCTCTGCAACCACTGAACCAATTTCAACCAAATTGGCACAAAGCATCTATGGGTGAAGGGAACAAAAATTGTGAATTTCATGATCCCTGCCCCCCTGGGGCCTGGGGGTGGGGCCAAAACCACTAAAATTAATGCAATCTTTAAAAATATCTACCAAAATTGTGAATTTTATGGCCCCAGGGTCAGGGGTTCTGGTGTTAGGGTGGGGCTCTATTGATTATAAATAGTGAAAATACATGATTTCTTAAAAAATCTTCTTCTCTGCCCCTGGGTATTAAATATACTAACTAAGTACATAGTATTGATGAGCAAGAGTGCCTCTACGAAAATTGTGAATTTTATGGCCCCAGGGTCAGGGGTTCTGGTGTTAGGGCGGGGCTCTATTGATTATATAAAGTGAAAATACATGATTTCTTAAAAAATCTTCTTCTCTGCCCCTGGGTATTAAATATACTAACTAAGTGCATAGTTATGATGAGCATGAGTGCCTCTACCAAAATTGTGAATTTTATGGCCCCAGGGTCAAGGGTTCTGGTGTCAGGGCAGGGCTCTATTGATTATATATTGAAAATACATGAATTCTTTGAAAATCTTCTTCTCTGCTCCTAGGAATTAAATAAACTAAGTGCATAGTTATGATGAGCAAGAATGCCTCTTTTAAAATTATGAATTTTATGGCCCCAGGAGCAGGGGTTCTGGTGTTAGGGGGGCAGGACTCAATTGATTATATAATGAAAATACATTAAATCTTTGAATTTTTTTTTCTTTGTGTCTGGGTATAAAGCAAATGAACTACCTTTATAGTTATCATCGACAGATGAGCAAGGGCCCTAATCTTGCAGAATTGTGAATTTCAAAGCCCCAGGGTCAGGGGTGGGGTGGGGGCTCTACTTATATACTGAAAATGAATTTATTGTTTGAAATCTGCTCTTTTGTATTTATAAAACATTTATTTATTTTTTTATATTAAGGGTGCCTATTTGAAATTTGTGCAATGTGTGGACCTAGGGTCAGGGGTTTATGTCACAGTGTTAGGGGCACTACTGGTTAGTTGGAATGCATTTTTGTTCCCCTACCCTGCATATGGGTATTCAGTAACCAAGCTAAGCAACTGCTAAGTGTATTGTTATGATGATCAATGGTGCCTCTTTCAAAATTGTGAATGTCATATAGCATCTGGCTTAAAACATGAATCAAATTCAATAACTGGAAAATTGTTGCATAATGCTCAGGTGACCTATAAGGCCCGTGGGCCTCTTGTCTTGAATCAGAGTCACTAGAGGATGATTTTCGGTAAGTCAATGTGTATACGTACCCCTCCCCCCTTTCCCCCTAAAAAAATTAATAATATTTTATTAGTTAGCAGGGGATTGATATGCATCTTTTTTAAATGCAATATTCATTTTCTCCTGATCAATTGTCTGGTACTTTTAGGAATGTGTTTTCGCCTCTGATCTGCATGTAAGCACAATTATTTAAAATCTTGATTTTTAAAAGTTGAGCATTTAAGCAGGGACCTATATACTAACGAGATTGGCAGCTCTAGTACTGAACTGTGAAAATCTGCTGAAATCTCGCACGTCACGAGATCCTGCGAGATCGGTCTATTCTCAGTGGCGCCATTTTGAATTCGAAGCGAGAAGACTCCAAGATTGATTACTTTATCTGCTATTAATCCTTTAATTGGTCTTATCTGCGATCGAAAAGATATTTAAGACATGGTAAGTAACATAATCTATGTGTTTATGATATCTGCCTTGGCCAATCATGAGGTGTTTTCATAGTAATTAGAGATCAGTTGCATATGACTGGCCAAGCTTGCTATCGCGTGGGTATGTTTTCACAACACAGCTGGTGGTTGAGGTACCCTGCGTGTTATTTCTCTTCCTAATTGCCAAGCGAAAAGCATTCACAACTTGTTTTGACTAGCCTTATTCATTATTTGTATATCGGAGAAGTGAAAATTTGTTTATTTCTATGTGGCGTGAACGAGGCATTTTAAGACAAAATTCGTTAAAGACAACCCAATTTTTTTTTCAAATTCATCTGAACATGGCAGATAAAAGGATGTGAAATTAGCAAATTATTAATAAAAAAAGTATTAAAAATGGGAAGAATAGTTTATTTTTGGATTTCTTTTATAAATATTGATTTTGCTTGCCTTTTTTTTTGTCGGTCAAATATGATACCTGACCTGAATTTAACCTTCGTTTAAGGATACTTATAAAAGCATCTTTGTGGGCAAAAAGTAGAAATAATGGGTTAGAAATACCTCTCAGACTTAGAATAAATGTTATAAAAATGAAAGAGAGAAGAAAAGGAATATTGTAAATCTAGAAAAGTTTGCCTCGTTTAGGTACACATTACAGGTCAAAAGAAACCTTTATCAGGGACCTATACATGTTTATAAAGACCTAACTATTTGAAGCAGTATCCTTGACCCTGTGCTATGAGCAAATACTGGAGTGATATTTCTCATTTGTTTATTTTTTTTTCTCAGAAACAAAAATTTATAACTTTATATATCCAATCCGGAACACCTCAAAAACACTGTATTACAATTTTTCACCATGAAGTTGTATAAGGCCACACCAATTTGGAACATAGTTCTTCGGATTTTCAAAAATAAAAAGAGAGGCGAGCGAGCGAAAATATTTTACAAATATTTATTTTTTCAGTTTTCAAAATTATGAGGCGAGCGAATATAATTAATATTAGTGGCAAATATTTCTAAGTTCTTCTATAGTACACAGGGGTATACAATTGAGAAAAAAAAATCAAGTACTTTCCCACAGGCTAGTGGCAGCTTTCCAGTTAATAGCCCCTAGTAAAAAGTTACATACCCAAACAGAGGGGCAAAAATTAAAATAAATACTAATCTGGAGAAGAAATTAATTGCTGAAAAAGTCAGGGTACTGGGGTCATTCTTTTGAAAATTTAAGTGAAAAGTTCTCATTATCAATATTTATCATGCATAAATTGTTATGAAAAAAAAATCAAATTAATTTAAATGAATTATCTTCCCTTTTTCTTGATCATTGCACAAGCTCATTTAGAATAAAATCAAAATCATTTTGTTTTCATCTTAAATCATTAAATACACTGGAAATATATTTTATGTGAGTCATAAAACACTTATCCTTCAGTTCATTGGATAATCGTAAATAATTTAATGAGATATCTGCATGTATTTACCATAAATGTAGGAAAAGAGGAAATTCGGATTAGGAAAAAACGATCGTTTTTGGAAGTAATTTAGTCAGATAGAACTACAAAACAGATAAGATTATAAAAATTTATTGACGGTAGGAGCACGTTGTCTGGAAAATTTTAACTGGTTGGGAATTTTATAATAAATACAAGTGAAAATATCGATTGTTCTTGTCATTGTTGCATTGCGTGTGTAGTTATGTTTTTTTACCAGCCCGACGTGCTACCTCCTTGCAGAAAACACCTAGCCTGATCCCCCAAAATGGTAGCCCCGGTTGTTTGGATATGCTAATTGCTCACCCCTAGTTCATACAAACAGTTACACGAGAATCTTGCAAAACTTCACAGACTGCTAAAAAGTACAAACAAACACTAAATCCCGCGCTTCTGTCATACAAATTTTTAAGTCTTCTATGCGTTTTGTGTAAAAAGTCGAGAGAAAAAAATTGAAATCGGATATTTTTCGACGCGCGCGCGAAATTTATTTTTTTAATATTATAATCTGGATTTGTTAAAAATAGAAGCGGCGAATCCGACGAACTATATTAGAATTTGGTATGGCCTAAATAAAGAAGGTCATAATTAAAAAATATTCATAGATTCTCATCTTACTCCAATTTTCATCACCCTATCAAATTTATTTTCTTATTCTGATCGGGATCAGTATTCCACTCCCACTCAACTTTTGTTTTCAATCCTGCAAGTGATCCTGCACATGTGAGCATGATTTTGACAGCTGAAAAAATTCTAAATGTTGTAATATATATAAAACAAGGGTCATTGCTTGTTAAAGATTGATGATGATGTGAAGTAAGAGATAAATGGACCTACATGACTTTTATTCAGGTATAAGATTTATATATAAATCAGCCCCGATTGACCTCGTAATAAAAAATCTGCAAAAAGGAAAAACAGAAAATAAAAGCTTCCTGCCCATGGCTCAGCATTAAGGCACGTCTGACTGACTCTGACTAGTAAAAGTTTGGTCCGTTCTTGTTTATTTCTTCTCAAGGTAGCCTGACTGGTCGTGTGAAAATATCCCTTAGTAAATTGTATTATCGATGTGTTAAATCAGGATTCACTTTTCGATCCCGATGAAAATTATTCATGATTGAAAATTGTAATTTTAAATTTTAGTTTACTTCATCAAAATAGTTTTCACCATTTTGTTTATATATCATTAGTATCATTAGTGTTTAGGATTACTTCCTTTAAAACTGTCTAATAAATATTTATTTTATGTACATGTATGATCATAATCATGATAATATAACTATTTAAGCAAAAAAAAAGTACAATCATTCAATGACTCACAGATATACTGGATCAAATCCGCATTCACCTTTGCAGCAGGGCTAATATTAGTACATACTTTTTCTGAATAAGAAGTAGAGCACATACAAAAGAGTATATCAAGTGTCTTATCTAAGCCTTTAGAGTGTCTTTATACAAAAGCATCAACTGGATAATCATTAGTTCATTGGTAAGAAATGAAAGAGCTATGATATATCATCCAAACTGTGTTCTATGTTCAAGGAAAAGAAATAAAAGCAATGATTTGGGACTATTTTTATATCCTGCACCATGTTGATTATATTAAAAATAATTAAAAAAAATCAATGGAGATTTGTTATCTTTGGATGCTCTTTATCAGTTTATTGAATGATAATTTTTACCAAATTCAAGTCCAGACCTGAATTATTATATCTTTTCCAGAATTATACATTTAAATGTGAGATAAAAAAAGAAAATTAAAAACATTTAATAAATCTGATATCTAGTTTAGAAAATATGACTTGGTGCCTTTCATTTGTCACCCTATTCGAGCCATATTTTGCATTTTGTAATTCCAGACACAGAACTAAGACATTGTGTTTACAAAAAAATTGAATATAAACATTAAGTAAACTTAATGCATCATGTACACTTCATCTAGTTCAAAGGGCCTAAGATACATGACACAAGCCTTTTACAGTCTCTAAAATTTAAAATTCTCAATTTAAAGTAACATTTTGAATAGAAATATTATGTTATTAAATATGTTTATTTCAGAGCAATGCCTGTCCTGAAAAGAAGAAGCGGATCCATCGGCCAAAGAAAAAAATACCACTCCAAAAGGCAGCGTAGTCACAGTGTGTCAGACGTATCGGTTCAACAGCATGATCACAGTTACAACACCCTCAACAGTTCTTCAGCTCCAGGTCAAGATTTCCCAGACATCAGTCAGTGTTCCAGTCCAGACATCCCTAATGTCATGGAACAAGAAAATGTTCAACTGCCTTCAGATCAGTCCTATTGTTCCAGTCAGGTCACCGCTGATCAAGAGCGAGAAGCTGTTGAGGATGTGCAAGTTACCTCTCCTGTTTCACAGACTTTGCCACATTCTACAGTAGAAAGTGAAGACCCACTGACCCTACTTAAGGATGAACTCATTTCCCTGGTTTGTTCTCCATATACTGTGACGTACCATCTTCATCAGCATGCCATAGAAATTATTGAATTCTACAAGCACCAAGAACAGACCTCCTCAGTAAAGTTAAGTGTTGTGATTGGGAGAGACTTTTATGTGAACATTTATGTACACAGGACTTTAATTCCATATTCTCATGATTTCTGGAGTGGACTCCCAAGGCAGACATTCACAGCCGCTGGTGTTTGCAGAGTGTTGGATAAACTTAAACATTATGGCGTATGCGTGGGAAATCCTAATGCTGAGTTCCAAGATCTGACACCAGCAGGAAGTGGATTATCAGACACAACATCCGAAGAGATTTCAGCATTCAGAGAGGGGAATTTGGTGCCATCCAGGGAAATCTGTCATATAGTTCAACGATACGATCATCGAAATGTGATTTTCTTGTTGAAGGCGCAAGGTGTGTGAACTGTTCCAGGTACAGACAGCTTCTCAGAGAAAGAAAGTATCGGAGAGAAGAACAAAAGTACAGAGATGTCTCCATTACAAGCACCTACAAACATTCCGACATGACACGTGACATGCTGTACAAGAAATTATCTCTCCAGAAGTCCCACATGAAGTCTTTACAAGCAGAAGTTGACCGTCTGAAGAGAGGAATGAATGCTGCCATCGAGAAAGGTCTCAAACTAAGTGAGGATCAAAATCAGGAAATGAAGGATTTGATTGGAAGCTGTCAAGATGAAATGGAAAAAGAATTTCCGGATCAAGGGTGCTACCAAAGACTTAAGACTTTTTTGGGAACAGCAGAAAAGGTATGAAAAGCACGGGAAACATGGTATGAGATGGCATCCAATGATAATAAAGTTATGCCTTTACCTGAGACACAAGTCATCAAAAGCATACGAGGCACTTCAAGACTCTGGATTTGTGCAACTGCCAAGTACTCGCACGTTATACAATTATTCTCACTACATGGAAAGCCATCTAGGGTTCCAGCCAGACGTCTTACGAATGTTAAAAGAAGAGTGTAACAAGAAAGACATGTTTGCTGCCGATCACAGAAGTTTTATGGGCTTGCTGTCTGAAAGAAGATCTTGTGTACAATAAACATTCCGAGGAAATGGTTGGCTATGTAGATTTGGGCAACATCGGAAACCAACTATGCGAATTCGAATGATCCCACAAGAAAACCAGATGCAGCTCTGATGGTGTAGCAAAGTTTGTCCTGGTGCTCATGGTCAGAGGGGTTACCACCGATTTGAAGTTCCCATTCGCTGCCTTCTCAACAATGGGAATTACAGCTGACTTTTTATGCGCCCGAATTTTTTCGGGGCGCATATTGTTTTTGTCCTGTCTGTTTGTCTGTTTATCTGTTTGTCTTTTTGTCTGTCTGTCTGTTGTCAACTTTAACCTTTGCCAAAACTTTTGAACCGTAAGAGATAGAGACTTCATATTTGGTATTCATACTCCTCTAATTAAGTTCTTTCAAATGACATCAAGGTCAATGACCTTGTGATCTTGACTGTGACATATATGCTAAAAATAACTTTTTCCACTGTTTGTCATAACTTTTGAACCATAAGAGACAGAGACTTCATATTTGGTATGCATACTCCTCTAATAAAGTTCCTTCAAATGACATCAAGGTCAATGACCTTGACTGTGACCTATGGTATATGCTAAAAATAGCTTTTTCCACTTTTTGCCATAACTTTTGAACCAAAGGAGATAGGGACTTCATATTTAGTATGTATACTCCACTAATTAAGTTCTTTCAAACAACGCCAAGGTCAATGACCATGTGACCGTGACTGTGACTTATATGCTAAAAATAGCTTTTTCCACTATTTGCCATAACTTTTGAACCATAGGAGATAATGACTTCATATTTAGTATGTATACTCCACTAATTAAGTTCTTACAAACAACACCAAGGTCAATGACCTTGTGACCTTGACTGTGACCTATATACTAAAAATAGCTTTTTCGAACTTTGTTGACACCGGGCGCATAGTGTTTCACAAACACATCTTGTTATATCCTATCATTTGGAAGGCCATTTCCATTCTGGAAGTTGTTGTGAAATTAAAGGTACTGTTTTGTACCTGTGATGGTGCCTCGGCAAACAGACGTTTCTTTAAACTGCATGCCAGAGATGGAGAAAGCTTAACCCACAAAACAGTCAATCCACATGACAACTCAAGAGACTTTTTCTTCATTTCTGATGTTCCTCATCTGATTAAAACTGCTCGAAATTGCTTCAGCAATTCCTACTCTCACACTAAGTCAAGGACCCTTTGGAATGGAGGAAGAGACATATCCTGGATGCACATTGTGAGACTTTATGAAGAACATTGTGACCAGAACCTATACACTCCATGTCCGAAGCTAAACCGTGGACATATTGACTTGAACGCCTTTAGCAGAATGAAGGTCAGACTGGCTGCTCAAGTTTTGAGTGAAACGGTGGCCAATTCTCTAGAGATGTGCTGTGACGAATGAAATGAAAGGTCTTGTGATTTTGAAGATTTTTTGTTCAACACTTATTCAGAGATTTCTTTTCGTTATGGAGATATACTGAATGGAATAATTTAGGGGCCATCGCTAAAGGTCCTTAATGGGGCCGTCTTACAAAAATTTAAAGTATGCATATTGTTTAGAACATTATTCCGACCATCTTTTGGTCAAATATGCCCATCAAAATATTCCCCGTTTTTGAGATATAAAGTGTCAATACATGAAGATTTGACATTCTGGCCCCTTGTGACCCCTAATTACGTAACATATGATCCAAATTTTTTCATGTATTGTTGCAGATTGTTTAGATGAATACCTTTGCTTCAGTAATGTATAACAAAATATTGATCATTAAGGAGTAATAGATGAAAGACTTTTGGCCCCTCTGAGCCCCTAATTTGAGAAGTCAGTCCCTTTTTCTTGATATCAAATGAAAGGTCTTTTGATTTTGAAGATTTTTTGTTCAACATTTATTCAGAGATTTCTTTTCGTTGTGGAAATAAGCTGAATGGAAATATTTAGGGGCCATCGCTCGAAGTCCTTAATGGGTCCCTTTTACAAAAATTTAAAGTATGCATATTGTTTAGAACATTATTTCGACCATCTTTTGTTCAATATTGCTTATCAAAATATTCCCCGTTTCTGAGATATAAAGTGTCAAAGATTTGACATTCTGGCCCCTTGTGACCCCTAATTACGTAACATATGAACCAAATTTTATCATGTGTTGTTGCAAATCATTAAGATTAATATCTTTGCTTCTGTTATGTATAACAAAATATAGATCATTAAAGAGTTATACAGTGGACCCTCATTTATCCGGACGCTTTGGTTCCCAGTCAATTTGTCCGGATATGTGAAGCATCCGGATATCTGAATCACCAGTTAAACAAGACAGAATAACATTTTAAAATTTCGTTCCAATGAAAAATCGTCCGGATACTGAAGCATCCGGATATCTGGCGTCCGGATATCTGAAGGTCCACTGTAGATGAAAGACTTTTGGCCCCTCTGAGCCCCTAATTTGAGATGTTAGCCCCTTTTTCTTGATATCAAATGAAAGGTCTTTTGATTTTGAAGATTTTTTGTTCAACATTTATTCAGAGATTTCTTTTCGTTGTGGAAATAAGCTGAATGGAAATATTTAGGGGCTACCGCTCGAAGTCCTTAATGGGTCCCTTTTACAAAAATTTAAAGTATGCATATTGTTTAGAACATTATTTCGACCATCTTTTGTTCAATATTGCTTATCAAAATATTCCCCGTTTTTGAGATATAAAGTGTCAAAGATTTGACATTTAGGCCCCTTGTGACCCCTAATTTTGTAACATATGATTCAAATTTTATCATGTGTTGTTGCAGATCGTTAAGATGAATATCTTTGCTTCAGTAATGTATAACAAAATATTGATCATTAAAGAGTTAAAGATGAAACAATTTTGGCCCCTATGAGCCCCTAATTTGAGAAGTCAGCCCCTTTTTCTTGATATCAAATGAAAGGTCTTGTGAATCTGCACAACTTTTCTTCTATATGTTTTAACAAATTATGAATAGATACGAAGATATGAAACAAAAGATGTCAACATTTGTGAGATTTTTCTGAGATATTTTTCAGGCTGTACCGAGCTTTGGAGCCTTTTGCGCTATAAAGATTTGGACGCCTGACTGCAACTCAGCAAACCTTCATTTACTTTCACTGAAAATCTTGAGTCAATATCTTAAGTCGTTCCGATTGGAGTTTCCAGGACAAGCAGACCCTCTAAAAATCATAAAACTGCCCATATCTCACGACCGGAAGTCATGAGAACAAAAAACAAAAAACCTATCAAGATCGATTGAATAGCTATTGCATATGCAAATTTGGTGTATATCGGCCAAGCCATCTCTGAGAAATCGCGTGCACAAAAATCGGTTGGAAAAAGAAATATTAATAACTAGAGCAAAGCTCGTTGCAAAGCAACGAGTAGGTCTTCTGTCCTGTTTGACCGGAAGTAGCATTAATTTTTAACAAAAATGAGAAATAACGCCTAAAAATGGTTTGAATCCTTTAACGCTAGGTTAATTAATGCAAAAATAAGCAATTTTTTGCTACTTCCGGTTTGACCGGAAGTGACGACAACGGACGAAAAAATTATGTTTTTGCTTCTAGAGACATTTGTTACCAAAAAACTTGTCAAGAACGGCAAAAATATGCGTTTTTCGACTACTTCTGGTTTGGCCAGAAGTGAGGACGCCGGACGTTTTCTGACAACTTCAATAGATTAATCTTGTCATTTTGTACAACTTTGCTTCTTTGCCGTATTACAAATTCTCAATACGTTTTGAAATATAATGAAAAAACTGTTGGCCCCTCTAGGCCCTTAAATTTAGGGGCCAGCTCTTTTTTCGAGATATCATTTGAAAGATCTTTAAATTCTGCACTTCTTTTGTTCTATACGTTTTCACAAAATATTTTCAGGTAAAAAGATATCGAAGAAAAGGTGTGAGAAATTTTGAAATTTGTGACAGGTCTATTTTCGGGCCATAGCAAGCCCCGACGAGCGTCACTTCTGGTAAATTTGATATACCTGATGCACCTCTCCAGACATAGCTCTACCTAGCCTCAAAGTTTGAAGTTTCTATCTAGAGCCGTTTTTCAGGAAAATTGTGGACAAAATGACCCTTAAAAATCAGATATCGACGATATCTCTAGACCGGAAGTGACGTCATCAAAACGGAAAAAAAACACATAAGTTTCATATGATGTTCCATACGTCCTGAAAGTTTCATAAGATTTTGTTGAGCCGTTTTCGAGAAATTGCGTGCACAAAATCGGTAAGAAAAAAAAAAATAATAAAAGTGAAAAAGAAACCGAAAAAAAACAATAAGGTCTTCCGCTGAAGACGGAAGACCTTCATAATAGGGAAAAAGAAACCGAAGAATAACAAGAAGGTCTTCCGTTGGAGACGGAAGACCTTAACTAGTGCAAAGCTCGTTGCAAAGCAACGAGTAGGTCTTCCATCCGGTTTTGACCAGAAGTACCGGAAGTGAAGGAACAAAAGAAAGCAATGAGCTAAGTAGTCTCCAGTGACTTTATACTTTTAATTTTGCATCAAAACCCTCAAAATCAGCTATTTTTTGGCTACTTCCGGTTTGACAGGAAGTAAGGACGACAGACGGAAAATTAATTTTTATGCTTGATGAGA